CGTATTTCCCTGCTTTATGTCTCCTACAGGTTTTGGAATCATTTTCAAATAAAACTCCCACTGACGCCACCCAACTGGAAGTCCTTCCTGATGCACTGCGGTTAGAGGGACCTGGGACTTCTCAGGTAGAGCACCCTGTGGATTTGGGAGACACTCTGCTGCTCTTTGTCACTTAAGTTAGCAGGCCCCTGACTTTCGGGGGTAGAGACAGAGTGAACGGTACAAGGATGCTGAAGTTTAAAAGAAAGTGAATAAAAGAGAGTGAGGGCATCCAGTGCAGGGACCACACAAGCCTCGGTCAGGTTGACGTGAACACACAGCCATTAGTGAACAAAACAAAATCCATTCTGAGATGTCAGTGAGCGCTCAGAAATAAATCATGAGCACACAAGAATAGCAGCAGCTAAACGAAAGAGAGAACATCTAAAGACAGAGTAAGATGGGAACCATTCCCTCCGCGTCCTGTAGACCTATGACTTCTCTGGAGTGGAGGAGGGGAGCTTGTCTGGTACACATGGAAGGGGCCACTCTGTCTGTGGCTTGAGGTGTCCTTTCATCGGCCGAGTTACACACTGTTTCCAAATGCACACGATGGAAAGGACCACATAGTCTTCCTACGGAGTCAGTCTCCCCTGGACTCTTGCTTTCGTTTATTTGTTCCACAGACAGCAATTGATCCCTTCTCATTTTCCAGCAATAAGCTGGTGACGGTTCCTCCCCGTAGATGATGAGTCCCTTCAACTAGAGGCTATTGCTTGGCCAGCCCCGTGCTTAGCACGCGCCCAGTGCGATCGTGACTTCAAGCAAGAAAGGAACACATGCATCTTTCTCTCCCACTGTCAGGGAGACTTGCCTCTTAAATAGGCTCCCGTTGTCTTTACTGGTAAAACTAAAGGTCAAGGCGGAGCTTCTTTTACACCCTTCTCAGTTGCAAAGCCCTGATTCCACACTGTAGTCTAGCACAGGCGCAGGGTTAGGTCTTCTGGTCATGATCCTAAGCTAGAGGGCATGCTAAGGAGGCCCACTAGGCTGCACCACAGGTCACTCTTGTAAGCATTGGCTTGGGCTGAGTGGGCAGTGGGTGGTGGCCACGTGGACCTTATGAGCCACACAGGAGAGCCATGCCACGTACGGGCAGCCACCCAGCAAAGTGCAAAGGGTCGGAAGTCGAATCCCAGTTCACATCCTAGATTCTCCCTCACCATAAAGCAGCTCTAGAGCTCAAACTCCGTGCAAGAACGAAGATGTGTCCAATGCAACAAGAAAAAGGGCAGTATGGAGATGAGGTTCAATGGTTGTTCATTAGCAATCCCTTTCACTCACAGGGATGCCAGACCACATGAAGAATTCGAGAATTTACCTGCTCCACCTTGATACAGGTTCATCCCAGAGAAACTACGCTTTATCACATAAGCATCGGATGTCTGCTGCCTTCGTGAGATGTTTACAAAACTTGTGGATCACTACGCAGATACGCAAATATATTTTTCTGGGGGTGTTGCTCAGTGCCAGATTATATGCTTAGATGCATGAAGTACTGGGTTCCTATAAATCTCACCCATAATTCTCAATAGAAGGAAACAATGAATCCCAAAGGAACAAGCCCTGTATGCAAAACAAGGCCTAACAAATTGAGATATGAATCCAAG